AAATTAGGAGTTTGGAGAACATTGGAGGCATTTTGTGAGATCCTTCGATTATACTATATTATAAAAACCATTCATTGCATCACATATGATTGTTAAATTCACTCTTATACCCCGGATTTCCAGTGAAAACTAGATGTATGAGTGCTCATAGCAAGACAGCGTATATCACGTGATATACACTCAGGTCTTTTTTTACACGGGGGATACGGTCCGTGTAAAAAAAAACCGTGTAAAAAAAAACCTACGAGATTTTGATGTTTAATGTGATGCTTAAATGTTTTTAAAAAATCGGATTTTGATGCCATTTGTAATTAAAGCATGATGTGGTCCATATAGGCATATTTTAAAAATTTCTGTATTTACACCAAAAATTGTGATTTTTTTTTTTTAAGTAAGCCATTCGATTACAAATAGCTTGAAACGGATAATGTGATTGGAATCAAGTCGATAGGTTGTATCGTTGTCGAGAAATCGTTAAAAACGTACCGTGTAAATCGTGGAAAACCGTGTAAAAAAAACCGTGTAAAAAAAAACCGCGTAAAAAAAAACCGTGTAAAAAAAGACTTCAGACACTGTAATGTGAACGGGGTATAACCTAATCATTTTCCAGGATGCTTTCTCGTACTGGCTGCGTTTGTATTAGATTAGATTAGGAAATTGTACAGAAGATTTGATAATATATTTCCAGAAGACTACAAGGAAAGGCCACGAAGGAATTAACTCTTGCAAGACTGATAGGGCTAACTTCCCCATTTCCGGCCTATTAAGCATAACCCGCACTTAGTCTTTCTTAATCTAGTTCAGTTTAGCACCAAACGGATTGTTATTATTACTGATGGCTTACAAATTTATTTACCTTTCCGCACGTACCGTAAGATTTGAAAACGAGAAACCAATCGTTGAGATATTGTCAAAAGTCCAAAACTGCTTCTTGACGCCAAACTCGGCCTACTGATTTTAAACTCGGCCTAACGCATTGAAACGCAATTGAAACGCCATTGAATTTACTCCGGCCTATCGGATGAAGTTAAAAATTGATTCGGTCGGAGCGCTTCTTTTGTTTTTGGGAATAATGAGTGCAAACCTTCATACCACGCGTTCGCATTGACTTCGTTCGGTAGCTTATTAACTTAAGTATCGTACGCATAACTAATTTGTTAACTCTGAAATCATGGATTTATTTGAAGTTTTCTGCTCGATAGGCCCAAAATGGGCGATTAGGCCGAAGTAGTTCTCTACCCTACCGCAGGGACCAGTTGATCTTCAAAGTGCAAAATATTCAATCGATCATTGTTTAGTACACGAAAATCAAAAATCTATTACAATGAATGTTAGTTCCGTTTCCTATCATCCTCTGTTCATGAACATCGCAACGAATGTAAGAAATTGACCATGCAGGCGATGTAATGGTTTTTTGTATTTTTTATTTCGTGTTCTATCTACGCTTTCGACTATACCAGTAAGCTTGTAGAACGACGCACACACTTGCCTCGAATCTCTCCAGCAGAAAAAAGCATACGAAGTCGAGTATGCGAGAAAATGTGCGCTTCTTGTTTGCTTTTAGGCTATCCTTATTCAGAAGCATGAAGAGAGCAGTGGAGAAACCACAGGTCACAACGTTCGTGGTTCGAGTCCAGTCGGCAACCTTTTTCCTATTTTTTTTTCGACATAATAAATTTACCTCACTAATACACTCTACATTTTTCGGTCTCCAATTTTCTTGCATTGGCCGCAGCTAGGTATATCGCATCCTCGGTTCATGCGGTCTCCACTTACATCCTCTGATGATGAATCCCACATAATTGTAAGCGAATCTTACATCCACCGGTTGGGTGTAGGCTTAGTGTTGACACACGAAATCAGTTAAATTTTCAAAAAAAGGATCATAATCCAAGTAATCTACAAACCTGCTAATTGCTATTTATACAATAAACAATAAACAATTATTATAGCTATTCTTGGGGAAAGACAGCTTTTGATCATGAGTAAAATCGGAGTTAATTTTGAGTAACTGTGAGTAACTCGCGTTGCTCAACATAAAATACACATAGTAATCGATACTGTCAAGCAAAGCAAAGCAACAACATTTTAAACAGTGTGCTTGCAATGCTTTACTGGGAGCATCTTTCAGCAATGAAAAGGCAATTGCACGTGTATAAAAGGAACTACAAGCTATTCCCTTAAAAATCGAAGGAAGATGTCTATGGTGACCTTACGGAACAGTCAGAGCTGTCTTGCTTTACTGCGATGCCGATGACGTTCTATTACAGGGGGATTTTGTACAATCTCTAGGAGGGTTCCAGTCAATCGCAAAGGGGATTTATCACAGTCTCAGTAGAGATTCCGAACAAGCCTAGGGGGAATTTCAGACAATCCCAGTTCGGTTTCCCAACAATATCAAAGGTAACTTCGGAAAATCCAAAGAAGGAATATGAACTATCCCAGGGAGGACAATCACAGGAAGAATTTCACTCAATATTGAGGGGGATTCATGACTGTCCAGGGGGGTATTCCATATAATCCAGTCAATCCAAAGGTAGATTCTGGACAGTCCCAGTATTAAAAAATGGTATGTGATGGTTCCTACATCCTTTCGACGATCGCTCATTGACAAACTTCATATAAGTTTCAGAATAGAATCAACTATGAAGTTGGCCAGAACTAACCTCTTTGGACCTGGGATGAACAATTAAATAAAAGACTGCATTCAACAATGCTGCTTTTGTTTTAAATATCGATCAACACAACAACACCAGACGATGCAAATTCAACCTGTTCCTGTTCAACCTTTTTAAACTCGTGTCTATTGATGTCTTTTTGCAGGAGTATCAATTAAAACAACGAACGCTTCTGGAGAGAGTTGAGTCTAACACTGACATTTTCTAGCTAAATATACTCAGAGATTTAAACCCCTCTTCCTTAATGAATGCTGGTAAATAAAATGTTGCTTATCACGAAAGACTTTTCTCATTTCAGGCATGTAGTGCAACAAAATATGAAACCTCTTTGACCGATTTTGTGAGATTGAGTATTAATTTTCATGAGCTAAATTAATCTCCTGAAAACATTTGGCCAAATTCTCACTTCCTTAGTCTTGAAATCACACCATCTAGTGTTTCCTTCCCGGGCAATTTACCAGAATTATCATTTCCCGATTCCCAGAGAACTTGTTTGACTTCCCGAGAAGCATTTTTTTTGTACGAAAACCATGTTAAACATTTGTTTTATTAAAAATGACCACACAACTTTTGGGAAAAATTGATAGAAATTTCCGGAGAAAGTTTGACGAATTTTTAGTGCGAAGCCAGGAAAGCTTTCTGGCGAAGAATCTTTCCAACAAAACCGGTAGACGCTTCTGACACAATCTGTGGGAAACTCCCGGGCGAAGTTAGAAGAGACTTTCATGCAAATTTAGGCAGCCGGATGAAACTTTCAGAATAATTCAGAAAAGTTTTCCGTGGGAAGTCCGGATGCAATGGGAAATAGTTTCCACTTCCAGCGGTAGGACTTCTGATTGTAATCTGATACTGTTGGAATGAAAATATGATGAAACTTCCGTTGAACAATGGTGGAAGATTCTTCCAGGGCAAGTTTTAAAAAAAAAACTTCCAGGAGATGTTGGAAGAAACTTTCGTGCAAAGTCAGACGAAACCTCCCAGAGAAATCATAAGAATCCTTCCGAAGAAGCTGGTGGAAATCTTCAAGAAACTTCCAGAAATTGTCGGAAAAATCTTCCGGGAGAAATCCTGACGAAGTTCAAGTTTTAATAAATAACTACCGAAAATATTTCCCGATTTCCGGCAAGAGTCTTCAGCTATTTTAAGATTCCCGGGTAATTATAAATGGCTGGGATATGGAAACATTAACACCCCCACATCACCAAAAACTTCAAAGACATTACACTTAAGCCATCCATCCTAGAAAGAAAAAGAGACCTAAATATCCCTTGGCTTGGACAAGAGCCATCTAACTTGGATCTTTTAATGAATGAAAACTAAATCTTGAAATCAAAACATTCTGTCAGACGGGGATTGTTTGAACATTCTTTGATGAAACATATTAGACTACTTTGTTTGTTTTTGAGTAAATATGAGTAACTCAAATATACTCACTGCAAATATATTAACTCTGAGTACAGTTGTCTTACCCCTAGTAGCTATTATTATAAATTATTAGTGACACTTTATCACTTCTGTGACATTTGTGTCGTAATCACTATATTGCAGCGCTACCCAACGTGCGGCCCGCGGGCAGATGGCATTAAATCAAAGTTTTTGCCGTAATTTTATTTTATTTTTTGAATTTACAAACAATTATGCTCATGTCCCAGTCGTCACTCGTAAATATGTACAACTACCGTAAATTAAATGTCAAATCAAAATTTGCCGAAATGACCCCAACTACCTCTAACTTCTCCAACGTCACGATGCCGATATTAATGATATCATTATTCATGCACCAACTCGTCACAGATGTAAATGAGGCAGCATTATTGCTACAATTCAGCTCTGAGTAGCTAGTTGGCCAAATTATACGAAACATTCCTGGGTTTGATTCGCTCGATTAACAAAATGCCACTCCTTAATAGATATCTTTCCAAATAAGCACATGTTTGCCAAATTCCAAGAGAAACACCACATTGACGTCACACAGCGAAAATAAAAGTACCGAGATAAGCAATCTCAGTTTATCAAAACCATGCAAACAATATGAAAAGCAGCAGCCATTAATCATTCTTTTCAAAATCGCTGAAAAGCAATTTCAACAAAAACCGAACCACTTGGGCGCCATGATGTCTAACTAATGAATGCTCTTATTTCCTCCTCATTATCCTCAGCATTCTGAAGATATAATACGCATGGGATTGCGCTTTCTCATCGTTTTTTTTCCCTTATCCTCTGACGGCATTGAAATTCGCCATCCCAGCGCCCAGCGCCATGGGACAGTTTCAATCCAGATCCAATCATCCACTAATCGATTCCTCCGCTTATTGTCTGCAGATTATCGGACTATTAAATGCATTCACACCACAACGTACGCTCGAGGAGTTCCAGGATGTCTACCTTGTTATGGAACTCATGGATGCCAACCTTTGCCAGGTCATCCAGATGGACCTGGACCACGAACGGATGTCCTACCTGCTGTACCAGATGTTGTGCGGAATCAAGCATCTGCACTCGGCCGGCATCATTCACAGGGTAGGTCTACAGCTGGGGGGATTTTCTCGTTGGAATTGTGAGATAATAGGAAGATTTTTCGTTTACCTGTAGGACTTGAAACCTTCCAACATTGTAGTCAAATCGGACTGCACGTTGAAGATTCTGGACTTTGGACTGGCCCGCACGGCCGGGACGACCTTCATGATGACACCGTATGTCGTGACGAGGTACTACCGCGCCCCGGAGGTCATCCTTGGTATGGGCTACAAGGAGAACGTCGATATCTGGTCGGTCGGATGCATTATGGGAGAGATGATCCGCGGCGGGGTGCTGTTCCCCGGTACCGATCACATCGATCAGTGGAACAAGATCATAGGTATGGTAGCAAGACAATTATCTAAATAGTATTGGAATTTGAACCACCTCTCAATTACAGAGCAACTGGGAACGCCATCGCCCTCGTTCATGACCCGATTACAGCCAACGGTGCGGAACTACGTCGAGAACCGTCCCAGGTATACGGGCTACCCGTTCGATCGGCTCTTCCCGGACGTGCTGTTCCCGACCGATTCGAACGAACACAACCGTCTCAAGGCTAGTCAAGCACGGGATCTACTGAGTAAGATGCTGGTCGTCGATCCCGAGCATCGTATCTCCGTCGATCAGGCGCTAGTGCACAGCTACATCAACGTGTGGTATGACGAGAGCGAAGTCAATGCGGTAAGTTTCGGGGCATTGGGTTACCAAAGTATGGACAATATGTTTTCAAAAAGAGTTGTCTTCCTCCGCAGCCTGCCCCCGGCCCGTACGATCACAGCGTAGATGAGCGCGAGCACACTGTTGAACAGTGGAAGGACCTCATCTACCAGGAGGTCATGGAGTACGAGGCCCGCAACAATTTGACCGACGGCGAGGGAACTCCGCGGTAGAAATCATCGGCCGAATAAAACGAACCGAACCTGGTGTTCCTGGACTCGACGGAAGCACCCAGTTTGTGCGAAGAGCGTTTGGTGTGAGCGACGAGACGGAAATTCACCAGAGAATACCCCCAAGACTTGATTGACTCCTGAGAAAAACAGAAAGAAGTTGTGTACATAAAAAAGCACAATGCATTATTACAGATAACGTGACATGGTAAAATGGGAAAGAGTGTAAAGCTTAGGACACAGATAGGCAACCAGTAGTGACACAAAGCAAAGACGTTAAACTTTACCTTTTATTCCAATAGTAAGACGAAAACAACAAAGTAAGCCAATTTTCTCCGTCTCATCATCGATCACCAATGTCATTAAAAGTGAAAGATTGTCATCAAAGTAGGCAATTCCAAATAAAAAAAAACAAGCATCCCGAGAAGAAAGTGGTTTCGTTCTGATCGCCCAATTTCAACAAAATGAAAACGGGTTGAAAAAATCGTACTAAAATTAAAGAAAAGTATTTGACCGGCAAAATTAAATAAAACAAAAAAAAATCGTGCGCTGTGAAGTTCATTACTAAGAAAAATGGAAAACACATCAATGAAAACAAAATAATAATAAATCAAATGCTTAATCAAGCAAGGTTTGTAAATATTTATTAAATTTGTGACAGACTTGTAAGCAAGCAGACAGGCAGAAAGTAAAATCAATGGCATGACATACCTAGATTAAATCATAGTGGCAGTTCGCACGTGAGTGAGTAAAGTGAATAAACAGGCAAGCAAAAATCCACTGGTCAAAATGTGCAATAATTTTATCGCGCCAGATTCGAATCCATAAGAATACAAACAAACAAAAAAACACACGCTTCCATTGGGGATGTTTTCGACAATGTTCCGGAAGTTCATCTCAAATCAGCAACATCAAGACAACACCTAAACTGCTTTTAATTGTTGAAGTGAATCTAGATGTAAATCTTAACGCTAAATAATCAACCATTTGAAAGGTGAAGCGATGCGTGAAAGTAACTACATACAAGTGCACATGGTCCTCATTTAGCTTTATGTTCAAATCAACGGATGCACGCGACCACGAAGATAAGGATAAGAAGATGTGATAAGGTGAGTCTGTCGATTGAACTTTTGTTTTTGTTTTGTTTTTTTTTTATGAAAAATGCTCAGGTTAACTCATGGCAGACTAGATTCAAAATCCTAACCGTTTTGTTGCAACTTACGTCCATTGTCAAATCTTAGACGTCAGATGTCAAAGTCATTTCGACTCGTCAGATTCGAGAGTTAAGGTATGCTTATTTATCCCTATTTACCAAACTATACAATTCACAAAAATATAGACATGCGGCTATACTTTGATCCTGGTCCTTAACCTATTCATTAATTTAGATAACACTGCCCTTTATTCAAGTTAAGGTAAACCAAGAGGAAAAGGACATCCAGTTCAAAAGTCGAATAGAAAATCTAGAAATATTTCACTAACTCACACATGATTAATTTCCAAACACTTGAGTTCGATTGCCATCTCTATTGCCATATTCATTCGAAAGAGGTAGAAAGGAAATACATTTGATAGTACTTAATTATCACGGCAGAAAAGATTTAACTGAATTCAAACCAATCAATTCTAGAATTTTTTTTAATCGGTTTAGCACATAGGAAGTTCGTTCGTAACAAAAATCTGTGGAAGAATACTATTTGTTGGATTGATTTGAGGATATATGCAACAAGCAAGTACAGTATGTAAACATTGAATAAACAAACAATAAATAAAGTAGAACAAAAAGTCCTGTAAATAGTACTAATGTATGGGAGTAATAATTCAAATCTAGAAAACAAAGTCTAAAACAAAAAAGAGAAAATCATATAGCAATTAGTGCAGCCCAAACTTACGATACAAGTAATCAGTAAACAAAATGAAAACCCAAGCTCTGATCATTTTTTGATGATTGGACGTATTGACGGCAGTTGAATACCTATATCTATCATCGCATTAACCTTAACAAAAAAATAAACAAATCAGCCTTCGTTAGTGGAAGGCTTTATTTGCGATGATATTTTTTAGCAAAAGTTATCTCAAAGAATGTAAAATTTAACACAAGCACACCTATTCCGGTAAAATGTCAACAGAAACACACACACACATACTAACACACAACTCATCTACTGAACGTTGGAAAGATTCCTATCGATAAATCTACCGTTCAGAATCATAAGGGCCGAACTGCGAAGATTGATTTTCTCTTTGAATTACAACAGTTGAGTGAACTTATTAGCGAAAAATGCCAAACCAGCTGAGCTATTAACATAAGAGAAATTTGATCAATGATAGACCGTAATGAGTCTGAACGCTAGAAAGACATCCGGAAAAGAGTCGACGAATCACTTACACAGACACACACAAACAAACACGCAAAGTTCAGACTCTAGCCAGCAAGTTCAATATGACAGTTCTTAGCAAACATAATTATAGCAACTAACAAAAACATGGATGAAAATGAGTAAAAGAACAGTTTTACGATTCCGCCCTTTTTATAGAATGAAAAAAAATACAAACGATACAAGCTACGGAGAAAGTTGGGAAACATAAACACTTCTCTACTACCTAGATCTGCTAACTTGTCCCATTTCGGAAAGAGAAACTTGAATAGTAAAAAAACGCAACATGACTTTTACGGAAAATGAGAAAAAAAAATCAATTGGTCAGAAACGTCAGAATGTTCGAAACGAAGCAACCTAATGGAAAAAAATACGGAAAATAATTAGTGACAATCGCTTCCCAGATTTTCTGTTCAATGTCAATTTTCGATTTATTTGCATTCCTATCGCATAACTGCATTATTCTATACAAAGGAATATACAACAGGTAAAAGCAAAAAAAAACATTAAACAAACGTCCAAACAACTAAATAATGGTAAACATAAACAACACTTTTACCGCAGTTCTCCGCAATCAATCGTAGCAACCCACGCCCAAAATCACACACTCACACTCACAATATTTCTTTTATCGTTTCCGCTCTTACTCATTCTTCGTTCATACGATTTATGTTCACGCGTCATTTCTATAAAGTAAAATAGACATCCCCACAGCATAACAAGTAAAAAAGTAAACAAAACCTCTAACACACGAATTACTTTAGTAGGGTGTAGTTCGAAACCATTCGATAAGCTCTTTTTATCTTCTCAGACTTGTTTCCTCTATTTCATATCCAAGACATGAAAGCAAAGGGAATGTTAAGTAGCAACTTACACTCTCTTGAAAAATGGTACGACTAACGTAAATAGCGATAAACCCCTCGTAAGGAATAACGCAAATCACAAGACGGAAACGTTCGGAAAAGAATGAACAGCAAATATTTAAACCTAACACTAGACTTACAAAAAAAATGAAACAAAACTATTACAAACACTAACCAAAATTGCGAGAATTGGCGAATGGAGAATGGCAGCGATACAGGAAGTTATGGAAATCAGCCTACGCAAGACATGAAAGCAGTAAGCAGAAAGTTTAGATATCTTGTGCAAAGAAAAGTAAAAGTTGATGGATTACAAACACACACACTCTCACACTCACACTTTAAGGTAGGAATGGTGGAACCGAATGGAGAATTACAAAAAAAAAAACAAATGAGACGAAGGGAGTAAATTGATGCGGATAAGGAAGATTGAGTATAAAAGTGTATTAAAATAAAACAGAAAAATAATATTATATTAATTCAACAACTGAAAAAAAAACAAAGTGGAAAGTAAATAAAAAACAGAAAACTGATAAGACAGACTAAGAATGGAAATAAAAAAGTAAAATGAAAAATTAATGATAAAACTTATTTATCACAAAAACAGCGATCGGAATTGGGTTGACTTTTTATTTTAGATGACCTTTTTCCTATTTAAACGTAGTTTAGCAAAATAAAAATAAAATTTGGCGATGCTCCGTGTTCAATCGAAGAAATTTTTTAATGAATTGGTTAGTGTGGGTAAGTTTGGAAGTCGTGGCTATATCGACAAGTTCATTAAAAGATATGAGATTCGTCTTCTGAAAATTACGGGCGAGAAATTGTCAAGCAACATGGCAGTTATTGACGAGTACGTCAATGTTTTTGCAACAGAAATGCGTTCCGAAGATTTGCTTCCAAGTCAAATCTTCAAAGCTGACGAAAGTGGCCTATATTTCAAATGCACGCCGACCAACACATATGTTGACAAAGGATCGGCTACCGCGCCCGGAAAGAAAGTAAACAAATAACGTCTGACTTTCATGCTATGCGCAAACATGGACGGTTCATTAAAGTTGCCTCTGATGGTCATTGGAAAATTTCTTAAACCTCGACCGTTGACAAATTTGAAAGAGTTGCCTGTTTATTACGCCGCATCGAAAAATGCATGGATGACCCGCGTTCTATTCAAAACTGGGTTTTTCGAACATATTGTGCCGCAGGTCCGAAAGTTTTTGGCAGAAAATGATCTCCCTATGCGAGCAGTTTTTGTTTTGGACAACTGTTCTGCACATTTTAATGCCGAGGAATTGAAGACTGATGACGGTGCTATCTGGACAATGTTTCTGCCGCCCAACACCACAGCTGTAATTCAACCAATGCAATGGATCAAAACGTGATCCAAATGATTAAATCATGCTACAGACCGATCATGATGCGAGAGGTTCTTGGAAGATCTGGAGAGTTTCACGACAATGTTAAAAGGATCAATGTGAAGGATGCCATCTTTTGGATTGCGCAATCATGGGATCTAGTTGCTCAAGCATCCATAAGAAAGTCGTGGAATTTGTTGTACAATCCGGAAGATGTGCAAGACGAAGATGATTTACCATTATCAGTGATTAAAAAGAGATTAACGGAGATCTCCGCCAAAATTATGGCGTCGAGTGTCATCGATGATGAGAATGCTGAATATGAAGCTCTGAAAGATTCCGAAATAGTGGAAAAAGTACGCAATCCTACAGCTGACGACGACATGACGTATAACACTATGGATTCCAGCCTACCAGCCGATGACAGCATGAATGTTTCGGAATCTATTGATCCTGATGACGACTTCCAGTCAGTTTCTGATGAATCGGCGTTGAATGCTATGGACGTAAGAAGAAAACGGTTGGCCTCTCAATTCTCAATTTTCGTTGCGTGAAATGAGATCAAAAGTCTTCAAGAAGATAGTGGATATAAATTCATCTTGAGAACTACATTACCTGTTATTTTAAAATCGATTTAAATATGATTAAATAAACATAATTTCAAAGCAACAATGGACTTAATATGAATCAGAATTGCTTTTTGAACTCAAATAAAATATATTAAGAAACTGTATTGGAATATTTTTGTTTTGCAGTCATATTTTTTAAATTAAAAATCACCCTCTTGGACCACTTTACATGGTATGGTGTGAAAATTTTGGCTTCAATACTTGATAGGTATTTGTAATTTGAATTTTTTTCATAACTGAACAACAAAAATATCAAAATAAAAATATGCTTCGATTTTATGTACGATTCGATTTTATGTACATTTCAGAATCGAAAATTTACATATAATCGAGGTGTTTGTGTGTCTTTGTTACAAAATCCGGCGTTAAGGGGTTTTGGATTAACTTTGACCTGAAAGGATGTGCCACAACAACATACAAAAACTAAATCCCATGATGGTCCGTTCACTTATTACGTCACGTTTCAGGGGGGGCGGGGAATGGCAACCGAACAAAATTTTTGAAGATCCGTAAAAAAAATGTACCAAAGGGCCTTTAACCCTCCGTTACTCGCGTTGTTGTACTTTGTACAACACACATGAGTTTTCCATTGCCATTGTGTTGCTGAGTTACCAATCGATATGAAACCAACGAGTATTCCTCAGAAAACTTGTTTTGATCTAAACAAGCTAAAGTTTGATTACAGTAAACACCTAAAAAATGCGGATAATAGAGAAAATGTGACTGGAAACCGCGTAAACGGTGTCCGTACTACGTGGGATTTGACTTAATTGGTTACAACATGGAAAATCTCAAGATCCTGACCAGATAGAAAATTACTGCCTTCGGCAAAGTTGGTTAACTGTGATAACAAAGGTTAACTGTGAGAAAATTTTAGCTTGTTTAGTTAAAAACAAGTTTTTTAATTAATACCCGTTGGTTTCATATCGATTGGTAGCTCGGCTGCAAAATGGCAATGGAAAACTCAAACTGTTGTACAAAGTACAACGCGCGAGTAACGGAGGGTTAGAGGGGGGTTTCGTGAGAATTGGTCTTTTGGTGGCTTCATACCTGGAAATTTATATCAATTTTCTTATCTTATTTTGTAGTTCAATTCATTTATTTATCATTTCAGTAAAAACAGTAGTTCATCAGTAAAATGATTCAGTAAAAACAAAGAGAATTGCAAATTTGATCTTAAATCAATCCTTATTGACTATTTTTCCAAGAATATTTTCCCTGATTTCACGAAGTAAAAACTGCCGTTCCAACGGCAATTGATTTTCCTCAACACATGTGATGATAGTGTCAATACTGTTCAGCACTGATTGATCTGGAATTGGTTCGTACTCCTCATCTTGGTTGTCATCTGCTGTAGAAATGTTTGCAGTTTCATCCAGAGTGGTGTTCGTCACGCTTTCTCCTTCATAAAAATGTGAATCATGGTTAAGAACAGCATTGACTATGTCAGCATCAGACATGACATCGAATTCCGCATTCTCGTCTTCATTTTCGCCTGCATCCGCTTTATCAGCAACCATCAGTTGAATTGTTACACTATCATCCCTAGAGCACCGGAACTATTATTTGCAATGCTAACATTTCAAAAATATTAATGGAAAATGGTCGAAATTGATCGAGTGCGTCAAGTTAGGAACCGCGTCAAATATGGTGCCTTCACGGTAGCCGTGATTTTTAGCCAAGCTCGAGACGGCTAATACATAGGTGTAACAGTCGGAAGAAGTGTTAGTTTGTTTACTTAAATGAACCATGCCCATTTTGTTATGGCATGTTTGCTATACGAAATGCGCCTCGTGTTTATTAGCGAATTTCACATCAAAGATTGATTAATTGAGTAGGAAATCAGTTTGGCACGGCATTTGTGACCAGCATACACCTTCCGGTAGTATGAAACAGGTCAAAAACTGTTCAAATCCGCAGATAAAATTTTTGTTTTGAATTTCTGTATAGCAAAATAGTGAACTTTTCGTGAACATTAACGGCAAAGAACTCACCAACACTGGGAGACTGTGAGTTCCTGCCCACCTGTTCATTTTCCATCGTGGACCGTTGCCAACCTCAAAGTTCTGCCCCTCCACGAGAAGAAGAAGGGTGACTGATGGCCTAGGCGGGTATGAGAGGTGACACCGTCGGAAGAAGTGTTAGTTTGTTTACTAAAATGAACTATGCCCATTTTGTTATGGCAAGTTTTGCTATAAGAAATGCTCCTCGTGTTTATTAGCGAAATTCACATCAAATGTTTATTAATTGCGTAGGAAATCAGTTTGGCACGGCATTTGTGATCAGCGTACACCTTCCGGTCATATGAAACAGGTAAAAAACCGTCCAAATTCGCACTGGGAGACCGTGAGTTCCTGCCCACCTGTCATATTACCCGCCTAGATTCTGGTCCGAGATGTTTTTAAGACAGGTGGGCAGAAACTCACGGTCTCCCAGTGTTGGTTAGTTCTTTGCCGTTAATGTTCACGAAAAGTTCACTATTTTGCCATACAGAAGTTCAAAACAAAAAAATTTATGGGTGGATTTGGATGGTTTTTTACCTGTTTCATACGACTGGAAGGTGTATGCTGGTCACAAATGCCGTGCCAAACTGATTTCCTACGCAATTGATCAACCTTTGATGTGATTTCGCTAATAAACACGAGGAGCATTTCTTATAGCAAAACTTGCCATAACAAAATGGGCATAGTTCAATTTAGTAAACAAACCTACACTTCTTCCTATTGTGTCACCTACGTATTAGGCACCTAACAACCGACATTTGAGCGGGATTCAGCGCTTGAATTACCTGCGAGCGTCTCTAAAGGGTGACGCACTCAAGGTTGTTGATGCATTCCCAATGAGTGAAGCCAAACGTTATTCGAACGTTTATCTACAGAAGAAACGGCACGTCAACGCTTTTCTGCAGTTTCCGAAGATAAAGAAAATTTCTGCAAGTGGGATACATGATATTCGACACTTTTGACCGACACACGAAAATCATGGATCAATTAGGGAATTGAATGCAGGCTGGGGAGCGATGCTGACGCAGCTATTGGTATCGAAGCTGGAAGACGTTACGCAGAAAGACTGGGAAGAGTATGCTTTGAAAAAGGAGGATCCTGTATTTCTGCACGTGATGGAGTTTCTGAAAGGCTAAACCCGCATTTTGGTTGACCAACGTCTCGATAGCCAACGTATTTTGAGAGCGAGGAGGATTATGA